GCGCGGCTGCAGGAAGAGGAGGAAGACTGGGTCCTGGAAGCCGGCGCGCGCATGCAGGAGACCATGAACGGCGACCGGACGGAGAGCGACTGGCAGGGGCTGGTGAGCGAGGTGAGGCCGTGGCGTCAGCCAGGCTGGCTGGGCTGCCCGAGCTGCTGGCAGCCCCCGCCCGAGCCCCCAGGCCGGTGCGGGAAGGGCCGCGCCCGGGCGGCCGCAGCCGCTATCTCCGCGCCGCGCGTCAGGTGCGCCGTCCCTCCCGCACTTTCCGGTTTCCCCGGGCGACACTCTCTTCCTCGCCATCTGGTGCCCGTCTTGCGGAGGGCCTTCCCACACGGTAGGGTTCAGCCCTGCATTGAGAAAGGCTCAGGGATCTGGGAAAAGAGCCAAGCCCCACCTGCCTTCCCGGTCACCAATTTTTTGGAGCTAAGCGATTGGATGCTGGGCGCTGAAAGCGAAGGGCGGTGCCTTGGAGGAAAATCCGGGCCCTGAGCTCACACCCGCGCCAGGTGCTATGACCTACCGTGGTGGTTTGGGCGAGGGAGTTCTGGGCCCTCGATGTTTGTTCATTTCTTATTCAGTGCAATCAACGCTTGTTTACTGCAGGCCTACAATGTGTTAGGTGACGGGCCATTTATCCACGGCGTGAAACAGAAACAAAAGTGATTCCATTTGTAGAAGCTGAGAACACCTTGCCCCAAACTATCTAATATGGCAAAACAGTTGACTGGACATTACCCGTTGTTTTCATCTTTATGTAACAATGCCCCTTTCCCTCCATTTCACCTCCAGTTTGGAGTTTGTTGGTCTGGCTGCTGCTCTGCCTAGCTTCTCCAGGTATGGATACGTTGCCTGTCCTAATGCACCGCGGGAATCCTGATGTGGTACTATGGGATAAAGCACTGAACCGCAAGGTTAGTTTGAACCACAAGGTCGGCGGTTCAAACTCACCAGCTGTTCCTTGGAAACCCTATGAGTCGGAATGGATTCAAGGGCACTGAACAACAACAACAACAAAATGTACCACAGGTCTTCCTGGCTGTTACCCTGGGGTATAACCATGGTCCTGCAGAAATTTTCTCTTCTCTCCATTCCCCGCTGCAAACACCTCCAATCTCTTGTTGTTGTTGTGAAGCACTGTCGAGTCAATTCCAACCCATAGCGACCCAGTATAGGGTTTCCGAGGAGCAGCTGGTGAGTTTGAACCGCCGGATTGCAGTTCAAAAGGCTTTGCAGTCTGGTGCACTAACCCACAGCACCACACTTGAGCTGGGCTAATTTTGAACTTTTTAAAAATCTTGAGACTTTCTCCTCCCGCGAAGATTTAAAGCCTAAGAGACAGACCGACTGCCAGCACTTAACAACAACAATAAACGCACAGTGAAGGAGCTCTGGTGACGCAGTGGGCTGAGCTTTGGGCCGCTGTTCGGGGTGGGGGCGGGGAGATAAACTATCTGCTTCCTTAAGGATTTACCGTCTCAGAAACCTTAGGTAGCAGCTCTACTCTGTCCAACTGTACTGGGCTAGACTGCAAGATCCCTTTGAACCACAAGGTCGGCGGTTCAAGCTCACCGGATGCTCCTTGGAAACCCTATACAGAGTCGCTGTGGGTCAAAACTGACTCAGCGGCACTTAGCAACAAAAACAACAACAAATAGGATCGCCATGAGTCAGAATTGGCTCAATGGCAGTACGATTTTGGGTTTATGCACACAGTGAAGGTCTTTGGATGGTACAGTTTGTGTTCATATTAACCTGAAAGTTGGTGGTTTGAACCCACCCTGTGGCTCTGCAGAAGAAAGACCTGTGATCTACTTCCACAAAGGTTACAGCCAAGAACACTGTGCCTCAGTTCTACTCTCTAACATAATTAGTAATACCTTCACAGACATCCTCTAAGACCTAGAACTGGAAGGCACACCGCTAGGGGATGAAAAGATGAGTCCAGCTTGCTTCCTACCTTAAAATAAGCAAAAGAGTTGCTATCAAGTAACTTGTGACTCACGGCCACCCCGTATGTGTCCTTGCAGAGCTCTGCTCCACAGGGTTTTCAGTGGCTGAGATTTCAGAAGTACGTTGCTAGACCTTTCATCTGCGACACCTCTAGATGGACTTGAACCTCCAACCTTTCAAGCGTACTATTTGCACCATTCAGCAACTCCACTGCAATGTAATCAGTGGCTAGTTCCTGAGCATTTCCTTGATGGTAAACACTTTGTTGTTGTTGCTAAGTGCCTTTGAGTTGATTCTGACTTATAACAACCAAGTATAGGGTTTCTGAGGAGTGAGTGATGAGTTGGAACTACCAACCTTGTGGTTCAAACTGACCTTAGGGTCCTGTGCTTAACCTACAGTGCCACACCAGGACTCCAAGAATTGGCACTGTGGGATAAAGCACTGGACCGAAGGGTCAATTTGAGCAATTAGGTAGGTGGTTCAAGCTTATCGGCTGCTCCTCAGAAACCCTATACAGGGCGGCTATGAGTTGGAACCGACTCGATGGCACTTAACCACAACAGCATTTATTATCACAATAGTTGTTGTTGTTGTTGATAAGTGCCGTCGAGTCGGTTCCGACCCATAGCGACCCTGTACAGGGTTTCCGAGGGTGTAAATCCTTACTGGTTATCACAATAGTATAACCAGTTTATTGGTGGGTTCTGACGGGGTGAACTTGAACTTCCAAACTTTGGTTAGCAGTCCAGTGTGCTACTTGCACCTCTTATTTTATAGATAGTAAACTGTGGCAGTAAAATTCAGGAGGCAGGATTTGAACCTTGGTCTGACTCCACACCCTCAGCCAGTCACTGGACCAGTCCTGTATTTTAATCACCAGTTCTTGTATCCATTAGATACCAGATTTCCTAAGGATGAGGACCTTGTGTTATCCAATTTTGAACCCCCAGGTTTTGGAGGATGGTCTACCCGTCCTCTGCATCTCAACCATCATAGATGCCTGTGGAAAATGCATATTTCCGGGCCCCTTCCCCAACCTAGTGAATGGAGTGACTGCAGGTGTAGCCTTCAAATCTGCCTTTCCCACAACTGAAGCTCATTGCAGATAATTCTCCCCTGCCTGCTCAAGTTTGGTTGGTAAGGGTCCCATGGTGTTGCATGGGCAAAGCAATGATATCAACCAAATTGGCTGAGTGTGGTCAGTGGGGAGTGGCGTTACAAAGTAATTTTGGACCCCAGTGGAAGGAACTGGGGAGACTATTGTGAGCTTTTCAATAGGCCTGTATCTGTTCTGTCGAAGCCCTATCAGGAATCACTGCATTGTCCTTCCTGACCAGAGCCCTGTGCAGTCTCCATCAGCGTACTTCCTCATATTGCCTGGAGGAAGCACTTTTCATTTACAACGACCCTACCAAGATCAGTTTGATTTTTGTATTTTTAGTATAACAAGCTGAAACTGCAGCCATCTCTCGGGCCCCGGAGTAAACATGGCCATGCGTGTGAAGAGTCATGACCGGTGCTCGGGTTTGGAAATTGAATGTGTGAGGAGGGTAACATGATGTCATTCTTATCACCCCTCAGGTAAGCTTTCCAAATCAGAGGGAACGCTCACAATGGAACCCTGAAGACAATCAATAACTTTATTTCCATGATAAAAATCTTGGTCATCACTTAGCCTACTGCCTTCTGTGATAAGCTATGCCTAATTTAATTTCACTCTTTGAATTTTGATTAATTAATTAGATAGCAATCAATCTCATATTCATTGAGCATGTTGTGTTCAGTGGCGGTGAGGCAGCTAGAAGACAACCCGGAGTCTCTGCCCGAAGTAGATTTTCTGGGTTTGGGAAGAGAGTGGCTGAGTAGATGTATAGTCTCGTCTCTTGTGAAGAGTACAGCTTTGGATCTTAGCGGCTGAGACTTAGAACCTGAAGCTGCTAAATGACCCATGTGTGAGCCCAGGTTCCTTTCTTTCTTGATTAAAAATGGTCAAAACTCAGCCCAAACTGACTAAGCTCAGAGGAATTTATTGATTTCAATATATTAATTGATTGCAACTGATTCCAAGATAGGGCTGTCTTTGTCCCAGCTAGATTCAGCACTTAAGAGAATAATTCCTCTCCATCTGTGGGTCTGTTTTCCTGCCTGGCTTCTATCTGAACTCCACATTGTCTCAGGCTGTAACCCAGAGGGGAAGACAGAAACGCTCCTCTGGCATATTTCAGAAAAGCCCAAGAGTCCCCCCTCCCTCTGAACCCATCTGAATCACTCTCTTGACCTGGTGTGGCACTGTTGGATAAGCACTGGACTGCTAACTAAAAGGTCAGTGGTTCAAACCAACAAGCCGGTCCTTAGAAATTCACATACAAGGTCGCTGTGCATGGGAACTGACTCAGTGACACTTAACAACAACCTGCCCTGGAAAAAGTCTTTCAGGAGTGTGTGATCTCATTGTCTTAGACCTGGGGTGGGCACAGAGCTCTGCACAGGCCACGTGGACTTAGAGCTAGGCCCTCAAGTAAAATATGGGGATTTTTGTTGTTGTTATGTGCCGTGGAGTCGGTTCCAATTCATAGCGACCCTGTACAGGGTTTCCGAGACTGTAAATCTTTACGGGAGCAGAAAGCCTCATCTTTCTCCCAAGCAACAGCCGGTAGTTTCGCACTGCTGACCATGAGATTAGCAGCCCGATTTATAGCCACTACACTACCAGAGCTCCTTAAATATGGGGATTACTTGCCAAAAAATTGGGGGGGGGGATGGGTGTTGAGGGAATGACTGCACTGTGTGCCTTTTCTGGACCTTGTTTTTTTCATTTTTAAATAAAGTAATAAAAGTACCTGCCCTCTAGGTAAGGAACCCTGGGTTGCAGTGGTTAAGTGCTCAGCTGGTTTGCCATTTTAACCCACACAAGAGAAAAGACCTACCAATCTGCTCCTGGAATGGTGGTGGTTGTTAAGTGCCATCAAGTTGGTTCCAACTCAGTGACTGTGTCAGGTTTCCAGGGCTGTCAATTTTTATGAGATCAGAAAACCTCATCTTTGACCTGTGGAGTGACTGACTGGTGGATTTGAACTGCTGATCTGTGGTTAGCAGACCAATTGCCTAACGCACAGCACCACCAGACCTCCTTGCACCGAACAGGAAATAAACGGCTG